TGCTGCTCCAAGCCAGGTGGACTTCACACTTTCTTTGTTGACAGCTTTACTGAGATTTAATTCACATAGCATACAGTTTACCCATTTAAAGTGTACAATTAAGTAGTCTTCAGAATATTCATAGAGTTGGGCAATCCTCCCCACAACCAAATTTAGAACATTTTTATCCCCCCAAAAAGAAACCTGTCTCCTCCCATCCCTGCAGCCTGCTCTCCCTTTCTAAACAGGCTTCTTTTCCCCTCTCCCCTTGTCCTGGAGGTGGGTGCCTGCAGCCCTTTGTTGTAAGGCAGCCGTCCTCCCGGAAGGAGGCCCCTCAGGCGCAGAGACATAGGGGGTCATAAGGGGTGCACTGTGGGAGCCTGTGGAACCTGTGCCTTCTCCAGGTGGCTTAGGAGGCTGAGGGCCCTTTAATCCCTTCGCTGGGGCTTGAGGACAGACCTCAAGTCAGGGTGGACTCGGCAAACCCCCGATGAACCTGGAGATCTTCCCAACCTCTTGTTATGCCAGAGAAGACATGGAGGACTAGAAAGAGCTGTACGCTTGCCCCAGGCCACACAGGGAGTAGTGGCAGAACCAGCAACCAACCCAGAGCCAGACCTCCCAGACAGGGCCATGGAGTGGCAGGAAAGACACCACTTCCACGGCCAGCAGATGAAGCTGGCAGCAGCCCTCTGGGAGGGTGGCTCAGGAGGGGCTCTCCTGCCCACTGATACGAGGCAGGTCACGGCAGGGGCTGTGTTGAGACCACCACCATCACCAGTCGTAGCCAGAAGGGGCAGCACCCAGCTCCCTCTGGCCAGTTGCCTCCCTGGGCTCCAGGGAGCTCTGCAGAGCCCTGTTTCCGACCAGTTGGAGGGAGATAGAGGTTCCCACACCCAGGGGGGAAGGGGAGTGGGCTTCTGAAGTGGGGGTGGGGGGCTGCAAACCCAGGTCCCTTTGAACAGACAGCATAGACCCTGGCTCATTATGTGCTCCCAGCCCTGTAGCATGCAATGTGAGCACTGAAAGAGGCCTGAGCTCTATCCCTACCCTGTGGAGAGTAGATTGGTCCTGAGGTACCACTGTGGATCACCAGGACACCTAGGCCACTTGTACTTTCAGCAGTGTTCCTGAGAGCCTGCTGTGTGCCAGGCTGATGCCAGAGGGGAGGGAGAGGGCTGCTCCAGACCTGCCCTTGGGGAACGCGCAGCCTGGGTCCATCCATTCCCAGAGTCAAGGGGAGTCTGCAGTCAGTAAGTGTCGTAGCCCTCTTCCAGGGCCTGCAGGGAGAGGAGGCTCTGAGCTGAGCCCCAGGGCACTGAAGCTGCACACTTGAGGTGTGCATTGTGGGAGCCTGTGGGTAGGCCAGCTGCACGGGAACAGGAGGGTGGCTGTGCAACTCTGACTCAACCAACTTGAGGGCACTTGCTGAAGTGTGCTTTCCCAATACATTCACAGCTGTTCTGATCAAGGAGGGGCTCTGTGGGAAAATAAATTGGGGAAATGCTTGAGTAGAGTAGCATCAGGACCTCTTTGCCAAAAGGAGGCAGTTTGTGGCCCAAAGTCCTCATTTAGAGATGATACATTGGACATTTTTTGGTTATGGAAGAAACTGTTTAATCAGAAGAATGTGTTATGTAGATAGAATTATGTAACTGCATTAGCTTCAGGCACAGCTGGATCCAGGTGCTTGTGAATTTGGTCAGGAATCTGTCTAAGTCTTGCTTCTGCCTCCTCTGGGTTGGCTCTTCCATGTGGCTGACTCCAGGCTACCTGGAGCTCTAGGCAGACATCCTGCTGGCAGAGAGAGGGTGCCTCTTTCCCAATACAGTAGTTCCAGCCAAAGTCCCAGAACTCACCCTGAAAATCAGGCTCTTAGCAGAGGAAGAATGAAATCTGGGCAAGCACAAACAATAGATGGTCACTGCAGTGTGGATGGAGGGGGCCAGAGATGGGAGTGACACACTGAGGGCACAGACTTGGACACAGACAAACTTCTGGACTCTCCCAGCACTGCCTCCTCACCCCTTGGATGGAAGGCTCTGTCCTTAGAGCCCCATGAGAACTGTTTTCCATCCCTAGAGATCTGGGAGGGGCAGTGTGGGAACATTGTGGTCCCATCACTGCTCACGATGCACCTGCCCATGAAAGCACCTGAGAAAGAGGGATTCTTTTCCAACCCACCTGTTTTCCAAGAAAAGGGTCTCTTTTGGGTCCTGGGGGCAGGGGAAGGGCAGAAGCTGAGACCTTATTAGGTTTGCATGACCCACCCAGAAATTCTATCAGTTTATTTTACAGGAGCCCCTGTCAGAGCTTTTGGAGCAGACCCCAGATGAGTCTGTCTAGGGCCTCCAAGCCCAGGCCCTCAACATTCCAGGATGCAAAATCTCTACTCTCAGCACTAGGGAGTAAGCAGGATGCTTCCGGAAATTGAGTGGACTCCGTTGTCTGGTGCCATTTCCTGTCCACCCCATGCCTACCTGGGGTTGCAGGCTTAACTGTAGGTGTTGGGTAAGTCACCGTCTCACTCTGTTCTTTACTCTCCTGATCCTGATCCGTAAACTGGTGTAGTGGGTAGTAAATCCAGTGCCCACAGGGGCCTTATTACATGGATTTCCTCACTCTCCCTGCTGCCAGCTAGACTCACCCCTTTCAGTATGTAATTGGCCTCTCCTCAAACAGCCAGTTACCCCCCAGAGAACAGGTATCACTCTTCCTCAGCCTTTGTGAGCTACACTCCTCACTGTGCAGCAATCTTTGGGGTTCAAGTAGCTCTTTTGTAGAGGGTGTGTTCAATGACTCATGATAAGCCTGCAGGTGCCCACGTGGGTGTGAGCCTCCAGGGGCAAAGCTGGCCATGGAGGCTCAGAGAGGGCTGGACAGAACTTGCCCAGCTCACCACAGAGCCCAAGCTGGAATGAGACCAGGAGCATCATCTACGACCAGAATCATCCATGTCAACAGTCATCTCACCCCGTTATATACAGATGAAGACGTGGGGGAGGGGAGACTCAGGCGCTGAGCAGTCTCTTCTCCCAGCCTTGTCCCTCCGCCATAACCTGCGCAGGTCCCAGCTTGGCTCCCACAGCAGTGAAGGATATGCAGGGCCAGGCAGGGTGGCAGGGGGCTCTGGGAGTGGGGAGGGGTTTCAGTAGCCTAAGCAATGGCTAGGGTGGACAATCCAGTCTTTTTGCCCAGTGCCCGCCTTGCCATCCACCGCTGAGCTCCAGGCACCGAGGGCATGGCTGGACAGGACGAGTGGCCTGGGAAGAGGCCCTGCCCGCGCTGGACGCCTGCCCGAAAAGGCTCGAAACCCACAGAAGCTGCCTCAGTCTCTAAGAGGCTTGGAGGAAGCGGGGAGATGCGAACCCCTATCTCCCAGTTAGCAACGCCGAGGTTGGGCAGGGGCCGGGCTGGGTGACCTGGGAGGAATTCTCTGCTCTGGGCGCGCCACGCACTCCCGGATGGGGCTGTCCCGTGTTAGCCCTTCCGTGTCCGCGACGCTCACCTGGCGGCCGTCCCGGCCAGGTGTCTGGCCTGGGGGCTGAGCTCAGCCTGTCCCCGCCGCCCCTCCCTGCCTCCCAGGTCGAGCGGGCGCGGCGCATGTGACCCAGGGCTGGGCTCCCGGGAGTACGCGCTGACGCCGCGTCACCCCACTCCGGGCCGGGCGCCCATTGGCTGCGCCGGGCCCGCGGGGGCGGGGCTGGTCTGGCTCCGCGCCCCGGCTCCCCTGGGTCTCCAGCCGCTGCCCTGGCCCGCGCGTGTGCGGAGCCGGCCTGGCTCTCCGGCTGCCTCCAGCCCCGACAAAATCAGGGGCAGCAGTGCTGTGACGTCCTGAGCAAGTCGCTTCACCGCCCCACTCCGCGTGCCTCAATTTACTCATCTGTAAAATGGGATGGTAACAGCCTCAACCGCCTGAGGCTGTCGAGAGGAGTGACTGGGTTTAAACAGCATTGAGCACCCTTCCAGCGCTCAGCGAGTAGACTGTGCGGAACCTGCCCGCCCGGGTCACCGTGGGCCAGGCTGGATCCCTGACCCGATAGACACACCAGTACAGAGGGGCTCGTGTCCACGTTCCTTGGGCGTGCTCAACGCTCCCCAGCCAAGCGGGGCCCGAGGGTCTTGCTTGGAAGTCTCAGGATCTTTGAGGGGAGAAACCGCCAAGACAAGCATGTTCCCCCTGAAAAATGGATCCCCTCTTCTGTTTTCCCCTACCCTCACCTTGAGGGTTGCCCCGGTAATTCCAGGCAAAATTCCTCCCACCCCCACGTTGGACTGTGCCCCATGGGGGTTGGATTTTCTGGGGTGCAGGTCTCCTGTTGACGTTGTCTTACCTTCTTTCCCTTTACCCTAACTCCCGCAGTTATGGAGTGAATATTTATTGAGCTATTCTATTTACATATGTGGTAACCCATTTGAAAAACGGTGAGGCGGGTTGGGTTGGGTGCAGTAGCTCACGTCTGTAATCCGAGGCCTTTGGGAAGCCGAGGTGGGTAGATTACTGGAGGCCAGGAGTCTGAAACCAGTCTGGCCAACAAGACAAAACCCCATCTCTACTAAAAATACAAAAATTAGCCAGGCTTGGTAGTGCATGACTGTAATCCCATCTACTCAGGAGGCTGAGGGAAGAGAATTGCTTGAACCCGGGAGGCCGAGGTTGCAGTGAGCCGAGATTGTGCCACTGCACTCCAGCCTGGGAAACAGAGCGAGACTGTCTCAAAAACAATAACAACAACAAAAAACAAACAAACAAACAAAAAACAGTGATAGCCAGGTGCAGTGACTCACACTTGCAATCCCAGCACTTTGGGGGACCGAGGCAGGTGGATTACGTGAGGTCAGGAGTTCAAGACCAGCCTGGCCAAAATGGGGAAACCCTGTCTCTACTAAAACTACAAAAATTAGCCTGGCATGGTGGCATGTGCCTGGCATGGTGGCATGTGTCCAGTTACTCAGGAGGCTGAGACAGGTGAATTGCTTGAACCCAGGAGGTGGAGGTTGCAGTGAGCCGAGATCATGCCGCTGCACTCCAGCCTGGGCAACAGAGTGAGCCTTTGTCTCAAAACAAAAAACAAAACAAAAAACAGTGAGGCAGATCTGTTGTGATGATGACTCCAAAACACCCTCCCTGCCTCTGCAGTGACTGCAGGAAGGCTTATTCCCATTTTACAGATCCAGTAGCTGAGACTCAGAAGTGAGGTAAGTGGATCCAGGTCACACAGCAAGCAGGTGAAAACCCAGATCACCTGCCTAGCTCTGAAGAAAATGGTATTTAGGCTTCACCCAGTACTTCCTATCCCACCCCCTCCCTGGGAAGGGCTGTTGAAATTTTCAGGGAAATCATCGGCTTCCTGCCGCCTCCAGAGTGTTGGTGGGGGTAGGGCACTGAGGAGAAGCCAGCTTTGTTCTCTGTGTTCTCCAGCACTTGTTCATCTGGAGGGAGTGGGTCCTGGGTGGACCCTTGAGCAGAGCTACTTGGGGAGATGTGGTTTGGTGACCCCTATGACTTCTGGCTCCCCTATTCTGGGTAATTTTCCACTGCAGCCACTTCTGGGAGAGGAACAAAGGGAGCTGGATGTCCAGGCTGAGCCCCAGGGACTTGGGCTCTGTGGCTTCTCTCCCCCACACACCCCTTCTAAAATGCATCATGAATTTTACTCCTGCTTAGGGCGTGGTCAGACAGGCTATATCTGGAGTCTGAGCAAGGCAGTCTGCAGGATGGCTTGACTCATGAAGGTCTGGGGTCAGGAAGGCCTGAGGCCTAGGCCCCTGATGAGTTTCCTGGGCTGCCCTCCACCAAGGGTGCTTCTCTCTGCTTGCATACCTCTGGGGACAGGGAGCTCACTGCCTTATCACATTCAGATACCTGAATGTTAATTCCGGTTTATTTCAACCCACCTCATTGGGACCCCATCCCTCCTTCCTGCCCCACCTGGCTCTGTCCCTAGGCCACAGAACCAGGTTTGGTTTCCAGCCCTCTTCTCAACAGGGCTGCCTGCTCTGACCTAGTCCCAGTTTGTCATGATCCAGGGCAGCCTGGCTCTGATCTAAAGCACAGCCACCTCTTCCTTGTGGCCCCTATCCTGACTGCTCCCGGGAACAAGTACCAAATCTGGGGTCAGACAGTCCTGGGGCCAGTCTTCCTTGGGTACTGGCTTCCTCCTTCAGGAGCTGCACTGGGCCCACTGGTATCCTATCCCTACAGCTGGATCTGGGAGGAAACCAAATGAAGACGATAGGAAATTCCAGCCTCTTTCTTTGGCCACTGCTGTCCTCAAGAGGCCAATCTTCTGGTTTTTTTGCAGAGAGGGGGCAGGCTGATCTCACAGCTCATGCTCCCCTCCACATTGTCACTAGCCTCCCAGCCAACCCGTGAGGAAGCATCATTAGGCCAATGTTACAAATGAGGAAAATTGAGGCAGCAGTTACATCAGGCCTGCTCACAACACAGCAGGCCTGAGACCCCTATAACTTGGATCCTGCCCTGTCCTGTGGTAAAGAGTCAAATCTAGGAAGTGAGGAAATGAGGTTTGGGATGGGCCCAGGCCTGGGGCTTCCACTCAGCTCTCTTGCTTGGTGCTGGAGAAACAGAGGACCAGAGAGGGGGCTTGGCTTGCCCGCGTTCCCGCAGCAGCCGGCCAGAAGCCGCTGCCATTGTGCGCGAGGCTGGATAAAATGAATGACTGGAGGGCGCTCTGGAGGAGGGGCCGGCTGAGGGGAGATTTGTGGCGCAGAGCGGGGATCAGGGGTCCCCCGCTTCTTTCAAGGTGGGGCGGGGCCGTCTATCTGGGAGGGCGGGGCTTCCCCGAAAGGCCCCGCCTCCGCCTCGACCGCCCAGCGGAGCCGCAGCAGGGGGAACCCAGTTTCCGTGGAACTTTTCGCGGGCGCCGGGCCGCCTCCGAGGCCAGGGCAGGACACAAACGCGCGAAGCGGCGGCGGCAACTGCGAGCCGGGGCCGCGGCGGCGCTCCCTGGGAAGGACCGTACGAGGCGGCGGGCCCGGCGGGCCTCCCGGAGGAGGCGGCTGCGCCATGGACGAGCCGCCCTTCAGCGAGGCGGCTTTGGAGCAGGCGCTGGGCGGGCCGTGCGATCTGGACGCGGCGCTGCTGACCGACATCGAAGGTGCGTCAGGGCGGGCAGGGCTCGAAGCCGCGCCGGGTGACGCGAGTAGGGGGCGCGCAGGTGCCTCCCTGTCCTTTGTCTCCCCCGCGGGCGCCAGCTCCGTGCTGTGCTCGCGCTGGACTTCCCGGCGTCTCTGAGCTGCGTGCCGTGCGCCTCGGTGTCCCGGGCCTAGCCGAGCCTCCCTGGTTCCCGCCCTAGCGTCTCGGGCCGCGCGCTCGGAGGTGAGGGCTCTTGGGCCGGGCCGGGGTCCCTTGGCGGCTCCGGGCCGGGACACGTGCGCCCCTACGCGTCCCAGGCCGGGTGCCGCCCGACCGGTGACTCTTCAGCCCTGTGGTGGCCACGGCTGGAGCTGGGGACCCGGGCGTCGCCGAAGCTCCGCCCCAGCCCCAGCCGTGACGTAATTGCGAGGTTACTCACGGTCATTCCCTCCGGCCCGAGAGTTCAGCTCAGCGTCGGTGTTCTTACGCATGCGCACTGGCGCTGCCTCGCGCCCTTCCCCCGCCTCTGGTCGGGTTCACCAGGTCTGCGACGGGAATCGCCTCCGCACTCATTCACTGACATCCACTGAATGCCAGGCCCCGTCTTAGGCACAGACAGACCTGGGCACCCCCTCTTTCGGGAACACAAAAATCCCCCAGGAAATCAAACGGGTATTTAGTTGCACCTTGGGTGGAGCGAGGCTGGCGGGGAGGGCAGGGCAGGGATGTGGCTACTTTGGGCAGAGCAGTGAAGGATTTCTAGGCTGAGACCTGAGGGTCACCCCCAGGACCAGCAGGGAAAGATGTTTTCCAGGCCACGGCAAGGGAAGGGCAAAGACCTCGAGGCAGGGCCTAAGTGTGAGGAGTTAGAGGCTTGCAAGGGAGTGAGGTCAGGGAGGAGGAGGACGCGAACCGACTTGGTCGGCCTGGGAAAGGGCGGAGCAGGACAGTGGCACCGGCTTCCATCTTTGGAGCGCCACTCTGGCTGTGATAAGAAGGGGCCAACGGTGGCACCAAGTGCCCATTAGGAGGCCCGTTGCTTCCATTTTGTAGACAGATCAAAAGGAAGCCCCTAGCAAACTGCCTCCATGGTTTCTGTGCAGGAGTTTTAACAACACTGGCTAAGCTGCACTTGGTTGATGAGGAAACTGAGGCCAAGGTCGCAGGAACAAGATGCCTAGACTCACAGCCTGAATGGACATGTCCATGGAACCCGTGGCCACCCTGGGGTTGGCAAAATAGATACATCTATGCCACCCCCACTCCTGCCCTACTGCAGCCTTGCAGATCACCCAGCTGGTTGCCTGCCCCAGGAGCTTCCCAGCCCTTCCCACTGGGGCTGGGCTAGGGGAGGACCCCAGAGGAGAGGCCCTGATTGTGAGGCTTTTCCAAAACAGCCTCCCCTATCCCTGGCATGAGGGGTTGTCCTTCACTGCCCTCTGGAGTGATGAACCCTGAAATCCCAAGCCCTAGGGAGATCTGGGCTTAACTACCAGTTCCACATCCCTGGGCCCAGTGAGTGTAGTCCAAGAGGCAACGTGACCAAGCCAGGAGGACATGGGCTTTGGGGTCAGAGGTTGAACCTGGACACTCCTCATTTCCTTTATCATCCTGCTCAAGCCCTCTCCCCCTCTGAACCTTAGTTTCCACCTCCAGAAAAATGAGGATGCAAACCCTCCCTTCATGGGCAAGTTGGACAACAGAATCGGGTCTGGGCCACAGGTCTGAAACAGACCTTTCTTACTGACTCATGGATAAAAACACTGCCTCTCCAGACCCAAAGGCCAGGCATGGGCAGCCATGTGGCCCAAGGTCTAGTCTATGAGAGAGTGGGGGCAGCCCCTTCTCACTAGGCAAGCCTCAGCTTTACCCACTTCAGTAGAGGATTTTTCAGTTTTTATTCAAACTTCCTGTTTTTCTTCCCAATTACACATCTTTTTTTCAGTGTAGAAAAATTAGAAAGCGCAAGTGAGCAAAAAGAAGAAAATAAAATCTTTAGACCAGGGGTGGTGGCTCACGCCTATAATCCCAGCACTTTGGGAAGTCGAGGCAAGAGGATGACTTGTGTGCGGGAGTTTGAGACCAGCCTGGGCAACATGACAAAATCCTGTCTCTACAAAAATAAAAAATTAGCTGGGTGTGGGTGACACGTACCTATAGTCTCAGCTACTCTGGAGGCTGAAGTGGGAGGATTGCTTGAGCCTGGATTTAGAGGCTGCAGTGAGCTATAACCGTGCCATTGCACTCAGCCTGGGTGACAGAGTGAGATTCTGTCTCAAAAAAAAAAAAAAAACTTTAAACCTACCACCCAGAGATAAGCTCTGCTAATTATGTGAAAGAGCTTTTCTTCTCTCTTTTTTTTTTTTCTCTCTCTCTCTCTGTCTGTCTCTGTGTATGTGTGTGTTTGGGGAATGGCTGCACACTCTTCAGAGACTTTTTTTTTTTTTTTGGAGACAGGGTCTCACTCTTTTGCCCAGGCTGGAGTGCAGTGGCATGATCTCAGCTCACTGCAACCTCTGCCTCCCAGGTCCAAGAGATTCTCCAGCTTCCAGGTAGCCGGGATTACAGTCGTGTGCCATCATGCCTGGTTAATTTTTGTATTTTCAGTAGAGATGGGGTTTCACCATGTTGGCCAGGCTGGTCTCGAACTCCTGAGCTCAGGTGATCTGCCCACCTTGGCCTCTCAAAAGTGCTGGGATTACAGGAGTAAGCAACCATGCCTGGCCTTCATCAATTTTTTAAAACAACTTTATTGAGATATACTTTATGTATCACAAAATTTATCAATTTTAAGTATATCGTTCAATGATTTTTAGTTAACTTTCTGAGTTGTGTGACCATTACTAGCTGTAGAACATTTTTATCTCACAGTGAGATCCCTCATGCTTGTTTAGTCACTTCCCGTTCCTGCTCCCAGCCCCAGGCAGCTATGGATCTGTTTTTTTTGGGGGGTTTGTTTTTATTTGAGATGGAGTCTCGCTCTTTCACCCAGGCTGGAGTGCAGTGGTGTGATCTCGGCTCACCACAAGCTCCACCTCCCAGATTCAAACAGTTCTCCTGCCTCAGCCTCCCGAGTAGCTGGGACTACAGGTGCCTGCCACCATGCCCAGCTAATTTTTTGTATTTTTAGTAGAGACGGGGTTTCGCCATGTTAGCCAGGATGGTCTCAATCTCCTGACCTCGTGATCTGCCCACCTCGGCCTCCCAAAGTGCTGGGGTTACAGGCGTGAGCCACCGTGCCAGGCCAGATCTGCATTTTTTTTTTTTTTTGAGACGGAGTTTCGCTCCTGTTGCCCAGGCTGGAGTGCAATGGCATGATCTCAGCTCACCGCAATGTCTGCCTCCCAGGTTCACACGATTCTCCTGCCTCGGCCTCCCCAGTAGCTGGGATTACAGGCATGCACCACCACGCCTAGTTAATTTTGTATTTTTAGTAGAGACTAGGTTTCTCCATGTTGGTCAGGCTGATCTCGAACTCCCAACCTCAGGTGATCTGCCCGCCTCGGCCTCCCAAAGTGCTGGGATTACAGGCATGAGCCACCGCGCCTGGCCAGGATCTGCATTTTTATAAATTAAAATAGGGTCCATTGGTTCACAGCTGATTGGATTCTGCTTGGTTCCATGTCATCAGCCAGATGACAGTCAGGTTCCTTCATTTACCCACCTGATCCCCTGTCAATGGGCACCTAGGTTATTTTATCTTTATAAACTGTGCTGCAAACACTGAGGCCAGTCTTTGCCCAGATCTTCACTGTGTTCCTAGGATGAGGTTCTGGGAGGGGAATTGCTGGTCAGAGGTTGAGCCTGCTTTTGAAGCTTCTTCTACCAGGTGTGGAGCTTAGCAGGTTTGATAAGGTCTGAAGATTTGGGGGTGGAAATGCCAGGTCCCTTGAGAGACATGAGGGATAAGAGGGGGCCAGGACAGCCTTGAGTGCCAGAGTGCAGAGCTGGGCTGGATGTGGGGATGGCCGGGGGTCAGAGCAGGGGCACGCTGAGCTTCAGCTCCCTCTGGCTGCTCAGGTGGAGGATTGTAATGTGAACAGAAAACACTAATTGAGTACTTACTGTGCTCCAGACACTGTGTTGATGATCCCACTTAATCCCCTGACAACCCCAAGTAGGTAGACATATGATGAAGATGATGGCCTTGAGGACCAGAGAGGTTAAGTGACTTGCCTGAGATCACACAGCCAGATGATGGCAGAGCCAGGATTCAAACCCAGGCTGTGGGCTCCAGAGCCTAGCTCTTAAGCTCTTAATCACTGGGCTCCTAAGAATGGGGATGAGGCTGGGCGTGGTGGCTCAAGCCTGTAATCCCAGCACTTTGGGAGGCCGAGGTGGGCGGATCACGAGGTCAGGAGATCGAGACCATCCTGGCTAACACGGTGAAACACCGTCTCTACTAAAAATACAAAAAAATTCGCCGGCGTGGTGGCAGGCGCCTGTAGTCCCAGCTACTCAGGAGGCTGAGGCAGGAGAATGGCGTGAACTCGAGAGGCGGAGCTTGCAGTGAGCTGAGATCCAGCCACTGCACTCCAGCCTGGGCGACAGAGCGAGACTCCATCTCAAAAAAAAAAAAAAGAATGGGGATGAGGGGTTCAGGGAGGCTGCTCCACATGGGGCTACTCTGGGGGCCTGGAGGTGGGTCACAGAGGGATCAGAGGCTATGTGACTACCTCCCCATCCCAGTCCAGAGCAATGTTTGAGTCATCAGACTGGGAACCAGCCCTGGTGAACCAGCCAAGGGCCTTGGGCCCCATCCGGTCCTGCTGCCTGCCATGGCCAAACTCTTGTGGATGGATTTGGGGATGGAGCGGCCTCCGTGAGTCCTTGCGTCTGTGGGTGAAGGCACTGCCCTGGCTGTAGAGTGCCCCTGGGTTTGAGTCCTGCCTCTGCACCGAGACCTCAGGTGAGCCTGTCTCGTCCTGCACCTCAGAGTACCTCGCGGCAGTCGGGGGAGGATGGATTGGGAGAGTGGCCCTGTACCTGTGTTGGGGATTATTATTAAGCCTGTGGCAGTCT